GGGGCTGGGGATATGCCACCCCATGGCGCTTCCCGGATCTCGAACCCCCTCCCTACAGGCCGCTATGAGGCCGCAAAGGCCGCTCGACCACGCGGACACGTCCTCGGGGTCGCGGCCTAGGCCACGGATGGTCGCCGCCGAGGAAGGTTCTTAGCCTGGGCCACTAGGGGTAAACGAAAATACAAAGGGCCTGGGAAAAGTTGGCATGTACTGGGACATTTTGCAAACATGGACAGTACCCGGTAGGGGTATTTTGAAAAGATGACAGGTCCAACCGATGCCAGGGGCATTTCGCAAAGCATTTTTTGTGTCACAAGGGTATTCCGGTCTACCCAGATCATTTAGGGGCATTTTGGCATATATCTCAACTTATAGGAGTATTTCGCAAATTATCCCTAAAAGGTTTTATCTTCTCAAAAAAAAAAAAAAAAAAAAAAAAAGGTTCATTCTAGGTTAAAAAAATAATAATAATAATAAAAAAAATTAACTGACCGTCAAGTTCCCCATGCTTACATTCGCTAATCTTTCTCCCCATTGAAAATAACCAGCGAGGGCTGAATGATTTTCTTGCAGCCATGCGCGGGGAAAAGGAAAAGTTTTCCAGGGGCAAGGTCCCATTAGCAAAGAGGATTGGATTGAACGCCTTAATTTGGCCGCGTTTGTTGTCAAGTGCAGGATATCGAGATTGAACTCCTTTTCTGCATCCATGCCTAAAACACACCCAGATTCAGCATCTTAATCCTCTCCCCGTTGCTAGTGGGACCATGCTCCCAGGGAATAATGAACAACGCTTTCTTGCCTTCTTCGAGGCCCGGACGCCTTAACCACAACACTCTAGAAAATATCCAAAATGAGAAAGAACTTCCCGCTAGAACATGGCCAGATGCGCCCGCCACATTTTTGTCTTTTTCATATTTTGAGAATTATGTGGCGAACCCTAACTGTAATAGTGATGAGGTGGCGAATGGGACTCTGAGGCCATAACTGGCCCAGCGAGGTTTCACGAAGCGCCTACAGCGAGCAATTGGCGGCGGCGTCTCTTCGTTGCTGCTCTCTCCTTGGGCTCGCAGGAGCTGCCATCGCCTTTACGCACCCTTTCCGTAGTAGGGCCTCTTTTTCACACCTCTCGAAGCCCGGTGTTGGAAACACGAGATCAAAAATAAAAAGTAAAAAAAATCGGGGGCTCGTAGCAGGGAAGAAGGGAAGACGAAAGAGAGGCGCGCTGTCGCTGGTGTTCAGGACAGGGGCAATGGGGAACGAGAGGTGTGAAGATGATGGCAATAAGAGGAGGGAGGCTAGCGCAGAGGCTCGCAGCACAGATCGAACAAACTCCGGAGAGGTGAAGACGACAATGTCTACGACGGACATCGCTGGGGACTCTCAAGTGAAGGTATGTATGACACATACTGGAGTCAGTATAATCTTGCGCAGGCCATCGATCAGTTCCTCATGTTCTTTAGTATGCTACTAATGTAGGAATTGAAAGTTGGGCAAGTCATGTTGGCAATAGCGAAAGATCTTATAGAAGGGATCGTCATCTTATAACAGTCATCTAATATCTGTTCTGTTGTGCGTCTTTTTCCTTAACCATTTTTAGTATTATTTTATTTTATGGAAATAATGTATCCCCTAAGATTGTTGTTAAAAACAAAGAACAAAAAAAAGAGATTGTTGTATCCTTCTGACTCTAGAGAGATCGGTGCACATGATCTGTGGCTCGACAGGTAGATGGCAAACCATGCAGCCACGTTTACCGAGTTTTTTTCGTGTCTTGTTTTTCCCCATCAGGATTTTTCCTATTGTGCAGCCCCCTCCCCCCTCCTCCTCCCCCC